CTCTGTGGAAAAATATTTTCGCAAAAAAATAGACAACACTTCTAAGAGGGGAATTTTCTTGGAGACATCGGAAAATAGTTAAGCTTATCTGATAGGAATTGAGAATGAATGAAAACGCAAAGTGCAAAAGTTCTCGAAAACATACCAAAAAATGCTAAGGAAGCTTTAGCAGACCCTGACTGGCAAGAAGCAATGAAAAAAAAGTTTGATATATTAGAGAAAAACAAAGTTTGGGAACTAGTTAGAAATAGAGGAGAGGAGCCTATAGGCAGCAGATGGCATTTTGCTTTGAAGTACGGACCTAATGGTGAAGTTTCTAGGTTTAAGGCTAGGTTTGTTGCTAAAGGTTTTAGCCAAGTTGAGGGAGGGGATTTTCACGAAACGTATTCGCCTACAACCAAGATGTCGACCATAAGAATGATCCTGAGTTTAGCAGTTCAAAATAGGTTATGGTCCCAGATGCCCAATCACGCGTGAGAAGTCAGGAGTCAAAATTGACTGTTTGTTCAAACGAATAAGAAAAAAAAATGAGAATTGCAGTGGAGTTGTGACAGTGAAAAAACACAACTTGAAATATACAACTGATCAGATAGAGAACTGAGAGATTAGAAGCAGGTCAAAACTACTTGGAAATAGACGATTCATTAGAATAAGAAGTGCAAAGATAGAAGCAGGGCAACGCAACTAGTAGAGACAGCCTAAGAAATTCAGTATGTGAATAAAAAGACTCTTTACCCAACGGCGTTTAAACTTTACAATCTGAGGGCACCTTTACCTCCCCTTTCCTCCCAGGGCTCTTTTCAACTCCCCCACCTTTCAAAAAATCGAGTTTTATGTTTGAAGAACAAATCTGCTCAGAGTTGTCGATTTCTTCACCAAGCCAAATTTAATTGCATTATGGCAACGTTAAATAAGCTTTTCAAAATTGATTTAAAAAAGGGGAAAGTGGAAAAGAGCCCCTCCCACCCACAGACACACACACGCAATCAAAAACACACACTTGAAAAATCCAAAATCCTGATGAAACTATATTTCATGTAGTCGGATCCGATCGGAATGAAACTTGGCGCGTGTCCATACAACACTTAGCATGAGCATCAATTGTAAGGGTTTTATCAATCCAATGATTTTTTTTGCAAAACTATGCACGAAAAACCATTGCTTGAAAATCGACAGACGTTGATGGAACAAGACTTCATCCAACATAGAACACGTGTTGATAGACATTAGTATTGGTAATAGTGCTGATTTAAATTAACCGGATTGAAATTCTAATCGCGTTTTTCTCAACTTGGGTTAGAGAACAACATTTGTTAATAACTCCAAGAGAATTAATATAGTGCAATTTTTTCAGAAATTCTCCACCGAAATTTTCCCCAAAATGGGTTATTTTGGCTTTTTTAATTAATCGAAAATTACGCTGAAACTACCGGGTTAATTGATGAGAAAGTTATGTCAAAAGAAGCCTCTTAAACAGACGTGCAAAATTTTAGAAAAAAGTAAAAATTCCATATTTGCTTAAGCATTTGAAATTTGTTTTTAACTAAAGATTTTGATTTATAAATATAAAAATGACCTTTTTTGGCTATCAACCAAAAATAAACTTTCGTATACAGATTTATGGAACATTTATCTTTAGAACTTTGTTCAGCGGGAGATTAACTAAAGAAAAACTAAAATGACCATTTGAAAAAATAAATTGCATCATAATGCAATTTGAACCAATTTTCAAAAATCTAAAATGACCCGAATTTCAAAAAACAAATTGCATCATAATAATTCTGAGCCACTTTTATTCTCTTCATTTTTGTCTAATCGTAACCCAATTTGGGAAAAAAAATAATTTGTAATTTCAAATTTTGTCCGCATAATTTAAATCAGCACTGTACACCCGAAAAAATTAATGGCCGCTGTAAATGAGCTAAATTGCTTTCAGCAAATTTAAATTATTAGATATCACGTGCTTTTCATACTTTCGCACGCCAAAATATCAAAATCACAACTTCAACAAAGCTCATTTAACACTTCTAAAAACTTGAAAATGGGATTCCGAAAGTCCACAAAGAATTTAAACGCAGACGGGGAACCAATAAAAATAATCGAGCCACAGTCGGATCACACATTTAAACTGAATTCCAACGCACTGAAAGACATTTTGCTATCAGATGAGCTGAAACATAAGAAAGTGGTGGTCATCTCAATTACAGGAGCATTCAGAACCGGAAAATCGTTTCTGTTGAACTTCTTACTGGCGTTTCTAAAGAAAACTAATTCGAGGAGCGCGACCCAATCTTCCAAATTTTCATTGGTATATAAGATCAGATCTTATTTTGGCCGTTCAGTTTTAGAAAATCAGGAGGAAAGCAAGCTCAAGATTTTTCGATTCCACCGAGAAAATTTTTTAGATCGTATCTTTTCTGAAAATTGAACTTCCGGAATTTTTCCAGAAGTGTGTTGATTTTTGCTGATGCGCGATTTCCAAAAAGACATTTCGATGCGAACAAATCACTATTTGTTAACAAAATCTATGGTACTCCTCAAACAAAACCTTTGCCTGACAATAATCAGAACTGGGAGATTGGAAAATATGGTGCAGTAGACGACGCTCGTCCACCATTGCCCCGGAGGGGGAGTTCCAGTTCGACTCAGACTGGTTGGATGCCCTGAGGACCCAAATGGAGAAGGGACAGGGATTCGAGTGGAAATAAGACAGGAAACATCGGCTCCTTATACCCCTCAAGATAACGGAAAGATAGAAATGGTGTGGGGAACAATTACTCCAATGGCTCGCTGCATGATTTTTGATGCCAATTTATTGAAAACTTATTGGCTTTATGCTCTTAATATGGCTACCAATCTCAAAAACACGTGCTTTCATTCTGCTATAGGCAAAACACCCGACGATTGTATGTATGGAGAAAAACCCTTAATTTCGTAAAAACTTTTGGATGTGTAGCGTATAGCTCTGTGGAAAAATATTTTCGCAAAAAATTAGACAACACTTCTAAAAGGGGAATTTTCTTGGAGACATCGGAAAATAGTTAAGCTTATCTGATAGGAATTGAGAATGAATGAAAACGCAAAGTGCAAAAGTTCTCGAAAACATACCAAAAAATGCTAAGGAAGCTTTAGCAGACCCTGACTGGCAAGAAGCAATGAAAAAAAAGTTTGATATATTAGAAAAAAACAAAGTTTGGGAACTAGTTAGAAATAGAGGAGAGGAGCCTATAGGCAGCAGATGGCATTTTGCTTTGAAGTACGGACCTAATGGTGAAGTTTCTAGGTTTAAGGCTAGGTTTGTTGCTAAAGGTTTTAGCCAAGTTGAGGGAAGGGATTTTCACGAAACGTATTCGCCTACAACCAAGATGTCGACCATAAGAATGATCCTGAGTTTAGCAGTTCAAAATAGGTTATGGTCCCAGATGCCCAATCACGCGTGAGAAATCAGGAGTCAAAATTGACTGTTTGTTCAAACGAATAAGAAAAAAACTGAGAATTGCAGTGGAGTTGTGACAGTGAAAAAACACAACTTGAAATATACAACTGATCAGATAGAGAACTGAGAGATTAGAAGCAGGTCAAAACTACTTGGAAATAGACGATTCATTAGAATAAGAAGTGCAAAGATAGAAGCAGGGCAACGCAACTAGTAGAGTCAGCCTAAGAAATTCAGTATGTGAATAAAAAGACTCTTTACCCAACGGCGTTTAAACTTTACAATCTGAGGGCACCTTTACCTCCCCTTTCCTCCCAGGGCTCTTTTCAACTCCCCCACCTTTCAAAAAATCGAGTTTTATGTTTGAAGAACAAATCTGCTCAGAGTTGTCGATTTCTTCACCAAGCCAAATTTAATTGCATTATGGCAACGTTATATAAGCTTTTCAAAATTGATTTAAAAAAGGGGAAAGTGGAAAAGAGCCCCTCCCACCCACAGACACACACACGCAATCAAAAACACACACTTGAAAAATCCAAAATCCTGATGAAACTATATTTCATGTAGTCGGATCCGATCGGAATGAAACTTGGCGCGTGTCCATACAACACTTAGCATGAGCATCAATTGTAAGGGTTTTATCAATCCAATGATTTTTTTTTGCAAAACTATGCACGAAAAACCATTGCTTGAAAATCGACAGACGTTGATGGAACAAGACTTCATCCAACATAGAACACGTGTTGATAGACATTAGTATTGGTAATAGTGCTGATTTAAATTAACCGGATTGAAATTCTAATCGCGTTTTTCTCAACTTGGGTTAGAGAACAACATTTGTTAATAACTCCAAGAGAATTAATATAGTGCAATTTTTTCAGAAATTCTCCACCGAAATTTTCCCCAAAATGGGTTATTTTGGCTTTTTTAATTAATCGAAAATTACGCTGAAACTACCGGGTTAATTGATGAGAAAGTTATGTCAAAAGAAGCCTCTTAAACAGACGTGCAAAATTTTAGAAAAAAGTAAAAATTCCATATTTGCTTAAGCATTTGAAATTTGTTTTTAACTAAAGATTTTGATTTATAAATGTAAAAATGACCTTTACTATCAACCAAAAATAAACTTTCTTATACAGATTTATGGAACATTTATCTTTAGAACTTTGTTCAGCGGGAGATTAACTAAAGAAAAACTAAAATGACCATTTGAAAAAATAAATTGCATCATAATGCAATTTGAACCAATTTTCAAAAATCTAAAATGACCCGAATTTCAAAAAACAAATTGCATCATAATAATTCTGAGCCACTTTTATTCTCTTCATTTTTGTCTAATCGTAACCCAATTTGGGAAAAAAAATAATTTGTAATTTCAAATTTTGTCCGCATAATTTAAATCAGCACTGTACACCCGAAAAAATTAATGGCCGCTGTAAATGAGCTAAATTGCTTTCAGCAAATTTAAATTATTAGATATCACGTGCTTTTCATACTTTCGCACGCCAAAATATCAAAATCACAACTTCAACAAAGCTCATTTAACACTTCTAAAAACTTGAAAATGGGATTCCGAAAGTCCACAAAGAATTTAAACGCAGACGGGGAACCAATAAAAATAATCGAGCCACAGTCGGATCACACATTTAAACTGAATTCCAACGCACTGAAAGACATTTTGCTATCAGATGAGCTGAAACATAAGAAAGTGGTGGTCATCTCAATTACAGGAGCATTCAGAACCGGAAAATCGTTTCTGTTGAACTTCTTACTGGTGTTTCTAAAGAAAACTAATTCGAGGAGCGCGACCCAATCTTCCAAATTTTCATTGGTATATAAGATCAGATCTTATTTTGGCCGTTCAGTTTTAGAAAATCAGGAGGAAAGCAAGCTCAAGATTTTTCGATTCCACCGAGAAAATTTTTTAGATCGTATCTTTTCTGAAAATTGAACTTCCGGAATTTTTCCAGAAGTGTGTTGATTTTTGCTGATGCGCGATTTCCAAAAAGACATTTCGATGCGAACAAATCACTATTTGTTAACAAAATCTATGGTACTCCTCAAACAAAACCTTTGCCTGACAATAATCAGAACTGGGAGATTGGAAAATATGGTGCAGTAGACGACGCTCGTCCACCATTGCCCCCGAGGGGGAGTTCCAGTTCGACTCAGACTGGTTGGATGCCCTGAGGACCCACATGGAGAAGGGACAGGGATTCGAGTGGAGTCACGGAGACAAGCGAACTACAGATGGGGTGGTGATGTGGAGCAAACCTTTCATGGTCAGGACCAAGAGCGAAGAGGTCGCACTCATTCTCATGGACACGCAAGGTTAATTCGGCTGGCAATCTACTTTAACAAAACAAGTAATGTAGCCAACAGTCGGTTGGAAAAAAGCTGAGAAAACTAATTTCCATTTTCGAAACTAAAAGTCAATCTCGTTTTTCGTGGTTTTTACTTTTTTGCTATTCGATAATGGATTTTGCCTTTCTTATAACAGAGGAAATGAACTGAACTTTAAATTAAACAAAAATCGGCTCTTTTCCAGTTCCCCCCTTTCAAAATACCGAGTTTTATGTTTGTTTTACGTGTTATTACGGCTAAATGCGTGATGTTACGCTGTAAAGTATGAAGAACAAATCTGTTCACAGTTGTCGATTTGTTCACCACGTTAAATTTCATTGCATTATGACAATGTTAAATAAGCTTTTCAAAATTGAATTTGAAAGGGTGGAAACTGGAAAAGAGCCCAAAAATCAAAGCACCAAAAACGTTACTTTGAGGTTGAACAAATTTAGAGATTTTTCCTGAAAAAATCATCACGACCTATACAAGAGTCTATACATCGACTCTTCATTAAGCCTTTTTTTTTTTTAAAAAAAGCAAAAATTGCTAGTCATCAATAAAAAAAAATCTTTTTTTTCCAACAAAAACCGAAAAAAAGTTTTCCAAAACAGTTTTCTCATGGCTCTCCCCACCCCACACGAAAATCAATCTTATGGTGTAACAAGCGGTTTTACAAGGTTAATTTTGAAAACAAACAAAACTGCGATGGCCTAATTAGTCCGCCTAAGAACTTTCATAGTGATCGGGCAATGCGGACAACAATTCTAGAAGTAGAAGTTAGCAGGTGGGGAAAAACAAAAAGAGCCGAAGCAGCTGAAAATTTTCGCTCATATTTTTGGTAGTCAGTTTAACTGGTTTTTGGTCTTTGGCTTTTCCCACTTTAATTTCTTGAAATTCTTTAAAAGTTTAACCGAAAAAATTACCAAAACCTTAAAACTACATTCTACTTTTGAGACGAGAAATCAGTCGCGTTTTTACGCCATGTGGACTTTCTTTATTCGATAGCGTATTTTTCATTCCTTTTACGCAAATGAACTTGAATTCAAGTTTAAAAAAAATTTAAAAACATACCAGGGAAAAATAACAATTAATGTTTTCCCAAAAAAACATCGTTCACTGAACTTACTCAAAAAAAATTTGCATGATGTACAAATCAATTTCTGTGAGTACAGTTCTTGTTGATATCTCGTATCACGCAGTTAGCCATGATAGCAAGCAAAGTATTTTGATAAAATGGAAATGGACACAGGCAACCAAAAGTGTGAAAAATTTGTTATCACTTATTTTAATATTTCTTCATACATTTTGCTTCAAACATTTCGCCTCACAAACTTCACCACTCTTCAATTTTGTTGCATATTTCGCATCTCACACCTTTCGCCTCACATTTATTAAGGCACTTTGTGTGTAAGATTTTTGGGACAACAACTTGGGACAGCTAGATGTGCCTCTAAATTTACGACGAGCGAAATGTAATTGTGTAAACCAATAGTTGTAAGTGATAATAAAATGTTCTACACATTTTCACTGCATGTGTCTTTTGCCCTTGTGTAGAACAAAATCTGGTTCTTTTCCTATCTCTTCTACCGCATTGCAAATTTTCCAAACTTACAAATTATTTTACTGCCTATTATGGCTAATATGCGTAATATTATGGATTATATGCTGGAATATGCGGAACAAAAATATGATTTCAAAAATTGGACTTTGTCCAAAACTTAAGCTGTTTCTCTACTGAAATAATTGAGAAGCGTAAAAATTTTTGAAGTAATCAGTTTTCCCAAGGAGATAACACTTTTCTTACATAAAAAAACCTGCAGCCCTCGCTTCTGCTGGAACCATTGTCGCAACCGCTTCTTTCGATTGAACTTTTCAACTCAGATTTGATTGTAAATTTTAAAAAATTCAAAAAGTTTCTAAAAACGGTCAAAAGTTCTTAAAACAGTCAAAAGGATTTCCAAAATCGATAACTTTTTCTGCAAAAAGCAGGTTGGTGCCGCTTCAGCAGAGAAAATTCCTAAAACTGGGTTTCTGAATTGAAAACAAGCTGAGAATTGGCACGGTATTAATCGCGTTAAGTCAAGTGTCTAAAAAGCTATCAAAGTTTCAAAACACCGACTTGTTTGTCGGCCATAACTTGTTTTTTAAACAAACTTGACATAGCCAGTTATGAAAGCAGGCTTTCAACAAACCGTTGTTTCGATTAAAGCTATGATATCAGATTTAGCAGGATAGTTTGCGAGAAAGGTCCAAAAAGCGGTCAACAAAATAAAAATTAGACATTTCCGAGAATCATAGCTGTTTGTAAGAATTAAGGGCGTAGCCACTTATGAAGAAGAGATTCAATCAGCCTGTAATTTCGATTGAACCCAAAGTTTCAGATTTGGCATTCTCGAGAAAATTTTAACAAGGAACGGTCAAAATATCAAAATTTTGACTTTTTCGAGGGCCATAACTTGTGGTGTCAGAAAATTTTAGAAGTAGTCGCATAAGCGAATGAACTTCCCACAAACAATTCTTTAAATTGATTCTAGAATCTCAGATATTGCAGGGTAGTTTTCGAACACATTCAAAAAGTTGAAAAAACGGTCAAAAAAATCAAAATTTTGGAATTTCCGAGGGCGGTGACTTTCGTTGTAAGGAACATTGTGAGTGGCCGCTAACGCAGGGGAGCTTTTCACTGCCCATTCTTGCCAATGAACACAAAAAATCCGATTTGAGAGGCTAGTTTTCGAGAAAAGTCAAGATCCACAAAACGGTCACAAATCAAAAACTTGACCATTCCGAGAGTCTTAACTTTATGTGGGAAAAAACATTTGGGCGTAGCCGCTCACGCAGGGAGCTTTTCAAAACCAATCTACTTTTTGAAACCAAAAACTCAGTTTTGAGAGGTGTAGTTTTCAAGAAAATTTTTTTTTTTAAATATGGGTCAAACTTCCCCCAAAGACTGTTTCGAAGGCTGTACAGAGAAAGGTTAAGTAAAAACAGACTCTAGGGGAGTATACAATCACACAAGTGAGTAGGCGGTCTTTCAATTGAAAACCTTTTTTTTTTGAAAATCAGCAGAATTTTCTGAGAAAAACTAAAGTTTCTCCAATACATTTGGAAATAGTTTTCCACAATGAAAAAAAAAGAAGTTTCAAAAAAGGGATTTGTAAACATACCACCAATTTAAAAGTGTGGAGGGAAGAGTTAAAACTGTGTTTCCCTTGAAACGAACCAAAATTAGGTCATTTAGCCATAAAAAAATTAATACGAAATAATTTTGCCCGAGGAATGGTTCTTAGCGAAACAAAAAAAAAACACGAAAGAAATACGAAGTCAAGGTGAGTAAAATCACAAATTGTAGGAGCAAAGTTGAACGGGAAACGCATAGAGATTTGAAGTGATTGTGAGCCAAGATACAAGTGATTTAAGTGATTCTGTTTAAAAAAAGTTGTTAACCCGAAAAAAAGGTCTATATTCCAGTTTGATAACGCCTGCTAATCGCAAGCGTAATCACGCATATTAGCCATAACATCACGCATATAAGCCATAATAGCCAGCAAAATGTTTTGCAATTATGGAAAATTTGCAATGCGGGAGGGGAGACTGGAAAAGAACAAGATTTTGTGCTACAAAAGGGCAAACAAAAGACACATGCTAGGAAAAAGTGTAAAACCTTTTATTATCACTTATAACAATTGGTCTACACGCATGCCACCCGTCCTAGATTTAGTAGTACTTTAACCTGTTTTACATTTATCCCCTCAAATCTTACACACAAAATGCCTTAATAAATGTGGGGCGAAAAAAGTCAAGAGGCGAAATGTGTGAGTGGCGAAATCTTTGAGAGGCAAAATAAGTGTAGACCAAATACAATAACTGATAATAAATTTTTTTTACACTTTTGATTGCATGTCTTTTACTGTGTGTAGCACAAAATCTGGTTCTTTTCCAATCTCCTCTCGCATTTCTAAATTTCCATATTTTCAAAATACTTTTGCTTGCTGTCATGGGTAAATGCGTGATATAAAATATCAACAAGAACTGTGCCCACAGCAGTTAATTTGTTCAACATTCAAGCTTTTTTCATGATTCATTATAATTTGTAATGGAAAAACAATTCACTGACAGCATTCACAGAGGAAAAGGTGAACCGGGAAAACGCCATTCACTGAATAAAATCTCAATTCTGATAAACAATATTCAAGAAGGTTCGAAAAGATAAAATAGAGACACTTTTTTCCACTAGTACTGCTCCTGATTTGAAAAATATTCTTGCAAAAAAACAGACAGTAGGGCACTTTAGTGATAAGGATAAAAAATTCTATATTGGCAATTGTGCAATGAAACATTATATGATATAACTGCTTTAAAATAGGAAAAAGTAAACAGGGGATGTAACACTAACGTTTCATGCGTAATAATTAGCATAACCACACGAAGGCGAAGTGGAGCACAGCAGAACTTGCAATAAAACTCAAGCGTATCATTGTATACTAGCGTCTGTAGAAAGACAATTTTAAAAAAATTGGAAAAGAAAAATTCAATTTCAGAAAAACACAACCACCAGCATTTAACAAGCTTTTAATATTTAGCGATTGGCCATTAAGTCAAAAATACGTGGTTAGACATCAAGTTAGTCGAAAACAAAAAAAGCCACAAGAAATTGTTAAAAATACGGTAGAAGAAACGAGCCTTCCTCTCCTGGATGTTTAAAAACTAAAATTCAGAGTTATTTTAACTTAGTTGCTTGGAAATCAACGGTTCGAATCCTCCGTCCTGCTATTCATATTTCTCCGTAATAACATGCATAAAAATTTTTTCATCCATTATATCTCCGGGAGCTCCTGCGTTCGAACGTCTGAGATTCTTCGGATCCGTTATTTCCTTCAAAAGATCTAATATCTGATCCATGGCTTTGTTAGCTTCATCTAAATTGTTGGGAATTCCCAAACTGCCATGAATTCCAGAAATGTTCTTCAACTGATTTTTGAGATCATCTATTTTAGCGCTATTCTCGGCGAGATAATCGAAAATCTCGTCAATACTTGTGATCTCACTTTTACTGGGTGTACACTCTTTACTTACGTTGAGATGTATCCGCATTGATGCGCATCCATTTTCAAATGGAACCCAAGAATGCACCTCAAATTTTGCTTCATCTATGATTTCCCCATTAGGATTCGTACCAGTAGCCACAAGGAACTCTAGGAAATAGCGAAGCCATAGACCAACGTGTAGGATATCCACTGAGCGTATCTTTCCAACGTTCACTAATTGTGGCAAGGTCTCAATTGTGGTACTATTTTGCTCAAAATCGTTCAAAATAACTGATCGCAGATACACCCCACGTCCATCTTCGCCATTCAGTGTGATGAATTCAATTGAAGAGTCATTTTTGTTGTTAGATAGCACTTCTCTGCTTGTGATCAGTAGATTGTATTCGTAAAATTTGAATCCAAAAACAAACGCAACATTGTAAAAACCGAGCGCATGTCAAAACTCGATGACTTATAAGAAGAAGAAGAATTTATTTCTCCATATAGTTGATAATACAAGCATCAATTTATGTAAATTATTAAATCAACAAAATGAAGGGGATAGACAAAAGGCGCAGTATGTGCCTACTTGACGTCTACCCGTTGAACAAATTAGGATTGCAACTAAGTAATAAAGATAAATTTATATTCGAATAAAAATAGGATTGTGGGGAAAAAATTTATTTTCCCCTAAAATTAAGCCCTCATTAAGGAATAGTTATTACATCTAGTCCTGTCATTTCGGCCAATTCTCATTCCAGCTGACGAACTAAGAATATGAGAAAACATGAAAAAAAAAAATCTGTTTTTTTATTTTTTTTTAATTTTCTAAAAAATGCGATTTCTCGAAAACTACAAGGATTTGGAGGGTCATATTTTCAGCATAGAATCGCAACCCTAGAATGGTTGTTTGATAGCATTTAGCCAGCGGGTACAATTTTTTAAAAATAAAAAATTCAAAGAAATATGTTTTGCACCAACTCGTAATTGCCACAAATGAAATTATCTTTAAACTTATGGACGAAACTGTATTATGATTTATGATTTCAAGTTAACTTATCACGACGAAATATGCAGATTTTTCTTCTCATTTCTCATTGTATCCAGCCATTTGAAATGTTTTATTTTTCTTGAGATTTCATTCAGAAAAATTGGCGTGGAAGGCAATACATACCCCTCCCCTCTGCTCTGAAGCAAGTAAACCTAGATTAAACAAAATGGACGAAATATTTTGTATTTATGCAGGTAGTTTTGACGACACTCAGACTACGAATGACTGTGCGATCATTTTCGCACTGGCCACTCTGGTCAGTTCCTGCCAAGTGTACAACATCAGTCACACAATCAGAGAAGACGACATCTCAAACCTACTCTACTTCACACAAGTAAGCAGTTAGATTTCATTCTCATTCTCTTTCATTCTCACCAATGCCCACAAATACAAAATAAAAAACACTTAAAAGCTTTTAAAATCGAACAATATTTGTGATGGTGAAATGAATTTGAAGAAAGGTGAAAAACATCCTGGTGTCGCAAAATATAAAGGGTTTCTCAGCACAAACACTGCCTAAAAGGTGCTAGAACAATAGCAAACTTCAGACAGGCCAGCTGCATTTGAAAAATTCTTCGATTCGCGGAAACAAAAATATTTTACTTTGATGCTTATTTTATAGATAATTTCACCTTTTTCTAAACAAAGAAGAGAAAAAACATGTTTTGTTTGAGTATGGCAAAATGGCGAAAGAAGACGAGAAACAAATAGCCGATAAGCACAAACCATTCCAACGACTGCTGTTTCTAATCCGTGACTGGAAATCACCTTCTAGTCACCCTTTCGGCCAAGAGGGTGGGAGAGAGAAACTAGCTGCCGCCCTCAAGGTCACAGCGAAGAGCAACGATGAAGTAGTTTATTCACGAGAGCGACTCAATAGATTCTTTCAGGACATCGAGTGTTTCCTGTTACCTCATCCGGGGCTAAAAGTTGCCACAGGAAAGTGACCAGGATTAAAAAGACCAAATCTCACCAGTACCAAAAAAAGGGTTATGAAATTGACGATAAATTTTTCATTTTTCATGGTAGTGACTTAAATCTTATTATGCCTGTAATTCGGTAAATTTTGAAAATACTCATTTATACTTGAGCCGATTGCTTTTTTCTGAATTTCATACAGGCATCTAGTTATAGGATCATCAGGATAAAAATAAATCCTCGTCACGGAAACAGGAGCCAAATTTACGGGTAATACCGACGAAATCGAGGAAAACTTCCTGCACCACTTACAAAACCTAATTCGACTCCTATTAGACGACGAACATCTTCAACCGAAACAACTAGCGGGCAAAGACTTGACATGCGGCGAACTTTACACTTGTATTGAATCCTACATGAAGGTTATTTCTTCCGGGAAATTACCAACTTTGAAAAACTGTTTCTTGGCAACAGCAGAAGCCACTCATTTAAACGCGTTAACCGAAGCCCTGGATTATTATCACAAATCAATGCAGAATGTTTGCGGTGGTTCGAAATCTTACGTCAACGAAAAGCAACTCGAAAAAGTACACGAGCAAGTTTCGAAAGCTGCCGATAACCAATTCTTAGCCACTAAACGAGTCGGTGGGAGTGTTTTTGAGAAAAATTACCGAAACAAACTTCAGGAAAAAATGAAAGACGCTGGGAAAGAGTACCATGAAATAAATAAAAGCAAGAAACTTACCATGGCTGTCAGTACACCGGTTAAATTAGTTGTTCTGTTGGCTTTTCTGGCATTGGTTTGGACTATATTTTCATTCACACATATCAAAATAGCGGCATCGGTAATCAAGATTATAATCTGGATCTTAACTGCAATGTTGGCTTTATGGTGGACAGTTTCCCTTGCCGGAGTTCTGAGCCCAGTGCGGATCATGATTGACAAAGCAGTCGATATAGTATGGAAGGTTACCTTCTCAATCATTATGAAAGAATTACTACGCAGAATTCACTGACCATGGCAACTGAAGTCATAATATGTTAGCCATGTTTTCATTTCTGGCCGTTTTCATTATAATAAGGACATTTAGAAATTAAGCCGACAAATTAGCAGCAGTTGCCTTCTCAGTCTGCTTGTATGAAGTTTTAAGTCGATAACTTGGAAGTGACGAACAAAGACAGTAAGCGGCTCGAAAGGAACGTGCATTTAAAATACGTTGACAGACATTCTGATGTTGCCATCAGATCAGCCATGCTGATTCAGCTGCTTTTGTTAAACTAGTTGTTAACTCGGAAAAGTCTATATTCCGATTTGATAATGAACGCTGATTTCTTATGCAGCAAAAAGCCACCAAATATAAACTAAACTAGCGCATCGAACCTCCGCACTGTTGAAAAAGAGCCTCACGTCCTTCCATCTTAGCCAAGATTGCTTGAAAGTCGTTCAACACTGACCACAAACATCTTTAATATTTAAGTAATTAAAGACTTTCGTTTAACATATAAACCTGAATTGAACTAAAACATAGCAAAAACATTGGGAAAAAAGACGTCGAACGCAAGTAAATGGACTTACAGCTCTTTGAATTTCAAGAGAAATTTTTGATAATACTTTTTTTGATAAAGTTAACCCAATTTGAGGTAAAATTTTAATTCAGCTAAGAAATGTGAAAACTAAATTCCACTTTGGAAGATAGAATTCCATCGCGTTTTTCGTGATCATTATATTTTGGTGTTCGATAGAGGAGTTTGTCTTTCTTTTTACACAGAAACGAAGCTGCGCTTCTCAAACACTTGCAAGAACACAACCAAAAAGCAGCTATCAAGTGAAATTAAAAAAAGTAGAAATAAGCCTCGAATTAGCAAAAACTCTACGAATCGGATTCGAATCTGCGACCTAGCAAATTTGAATCTCACGCACTAACCACTCAGCCACGAATGCTTGAAACCCCCAAAACTAGCTACCAATAACGCAGCTACGACTAATAAATTGCCATTTCGATGCAGTAAAAGTGACACCAAATACAAAAAGACACAATTTTGCATGTAATAAATTGGAAAGTATAAAGCCAAATTATGTATAAGTTATGCATTTCACAAAAATTATGTATTACAGTGAGTTGGAAAACTTCCGAAATCGAGCTTTTTATCATTGTACTGCTGTTTGAAGCAAATAAGTTTTTTCGGTTCATTTGATGAATTAAAAATGCATCAGCTGTGTTAACTTTTTACTAATCAATTATCAAAGCACATATGATATTATACTGCTACCGCAGCCTACCGATTCAAAAGTGCCACCAAAAGTAGCACTTCAATATGCAACTTAGATTAGAAAAAAGAAAGCTCGTACTAATACACTTTGCTTCGCAAGTGTAAACAAAGAAAATAAACTGAAAAAGCAATCAAAAGTCAAACCGCAAAAAAAAATGAGTTTGATCCTGAACAAATTTTGAAACTTTTACCGAAAAAAACTGAATAAATCATCGCGACCTATCTGAGAGTCTGAACTACGTTCATCGACTCTTAAAAAGAAATCAAAAGTCAACCCGAGAAAAAATCAAATTTGACCGTGAATTAATTTTCAGACTCCTTTCTAAAAAAACAACAAACAAAATCAACACGACTTATATAAGTGTCTACACTGCGTTCATTGACACTTAAAAACGTAATTTTACACTTTTGAACAACATTTTTACCTACTATCTATTGTGTTAAAAGTTTTCGACATTTGAGATTGTTTTGAAACCTTAATCAAAATCTAGACTGACTCGTAATCAAACGATATTCCTTTTTTCGAGATTTCAGTCAAATTGAACAAGCCTAGAAAACAACTAGTTACAAAAATATAAATTTGATCATTTCTAATTTAACTCGTTAACTCTTCGAGCCTATTGTAAACAAAACAATTAAAACAATTAATCCGACTGAAAAAATAGCTTCCACACCAAACGGAGGCCCAGTCGTAGATCCAGTTTGACTGGTGGATCCTGCTCTAAGTCTTGCTCTACTCTCTCTGGCTGCTTCCAGGCCTTTACTGACTGCTTTCCGTCTGTTTTCGGCTTCTGTGCTGTTTTTGTTTTCAGGCATCCAGCTGCCGGTATTTTTGCCGTAGTGGCCTATTGACCATAGCTCGTAATTGTAGCCGAACTTGTGCAGTTCACTCGGATCTATTGGGTTCTTTTTCGCAACTAGTATTCTTCCTTCGTTGCTACGAAATTTTTCGTTGCTATATTCTGAATCGCGCCGCCTAAAACAATGAACGCTGATCTATAGACAAGACAATTCACACTTTTTTAAAGCGCGAATCGATTATTAACGGCTATTTCAGAAACACAAAACTCAAGAAACACACTCAAACGAATACCTAATTTCGCAATTTGACGGATGCAATAATTAGGCGACTAAGCCTATATAAAATCAGCTTAAGCCTTTTGCAAAAATGCGAAATGGACCTACCCGGATTCAAATTATCTACCTAAAGGCGGTCAAATCTCAGATGTTATTTCTAGGCTAGCTGTATAATTTAGCAGACCAGACCATCGATTGGACTCAATATGAAGCATATTGAGACACGGAACATTCTCACGTGCCAAATCTGTCATGTTTCTATAGTACTCGATTGCAATACAAGTGCTCCGAGAAGTTTAATCGGCTCTTTTTCCTCCCCCCCCCCCACCTCACACGAGCTTCAATGTACTAGAGTAACAAGTGGCTTTACGAGGTTGAGTATGAAGACCAAATATGTTTGTCGTGGCCTTATTAGTCTGTATATAAATTTTCATAACAATTGGACAATGTGGTCAACAAATTTGCATTTAAAAATTTGCAGGTGGGGGGGGGGGGGGGGGGAAGGAAAATGAGCCGAGCCGTTTAATCTCTCCCCAGCTAAAAAATGTTCTCCACTAAATACTAATATTAATTTTCATGACAAACTCGTGTCTTTGTTTTACTTGCTAAAAAATCTCTACCCCCAAATCTACGTGAAATATCATGCCTTTTCTGAATGTGGAAGGTGGGCGTTACACAGATGAACATGTCTTGTTCGAGTTCGTTATAAGCACTTACGCCGCGTACTCCTGTTTCTGTCTCATTCTAAACTGCTGCTGTCCGAGCGGACTCTCACTAAGCCTCAACTCCTGGTCGTAACTAGTCCGTTGATCTTCATCACTCAGTACAGAGTATGCCTCATTCGCTCTTTTGAACTTCTCAACCGAAGAGCCCGAGGTTCGTTTATCTGGATGATGTGCCTTCGAGATATCATAAAAGGCCTCCTTGATTTGCGACTGTGTCGCAGTTTGCGAGACTCCAAGCACTTCGTAGTAACTTTTCTGCTTATTATCTATTCTGGTACTACTGCAAGCGCGCTTTGAAAACAGGAAGTGGGATGCTTTTTGAGCATTTGAAAGATGTTGGGTCCTGATGATTCTGAGGTTCTGCTGGAAGTGAGGTGTCAGGGTGCAGACGCTGTAATATCGTCGGCACATGCATCTGCAACTACTCATCTGAAACGTCAGAACATCACGTCAACCTGTTCTGCCAGTAAATACTTATTTTCAAACTACCTTTCTCTGCTCTTGATCTTAGCATTCTGTTGGAGAAATTGCAGTAATGGCCCAATAAACATGAAAAAATTGATGTTCTTTTTGTTAGTTGCCATTTGCAGGATTTCCATTTTCACCGACAAAAATATTGAGCCATCCAGATGTTTGGGCCAAATTGCTCCTCTGTTTCACAATTCCAACTAGTCGAATTGGACACAAGTAGCAATTGCAGAGTTAAGTTTAACCTAGTCAAAAATAAACATAAAAAAATCATTTGTCGTCCAGTTGCAGATCCTTATGCCTCTCAAACTCTCAATTTTGACTTTTACTAATAGTTTAAGATATTAACAAGCCTATCTACATTTCGCAAATTCAAGCTGCCAAAATGACAAAAAGGAGCTCAAAAACTCAACAAAAAAATGAAAGCAGGCCTGCACAAAAACCTTGCGACCGGCGGTAGATATAAACCACCATCTTCTGCGTCATCGGCAAACAATCGGACAGTCCACTCAGTCACTGAGACCTTTTGAATGACTAGGACTGCAGTCATGTTTTCGTTAATAAAGTTGAAATTGCAGTAGAATTAGATAGTAAGTTCATTCAACTCCGTGTGATTTAGTGTGAAAATGGAAAATTCAGACGTTTTTTTCCACACTGCGAAAACTTTTTGATATTTTTGCAATCCGAAATGCGACTAATAGGACTTCAAAATGATTAATACTTGAGACTCTTTTCCACTCCCCACCTTTCAAATTCAGTATTGAAAACCATTTTAACATTGTCAGTATGCAATAAAATTTGGCCAGTGAACATATTTTTTCTTCACCTTGCAACGTAACATCACGCGTTTAGCCATAATCACACGTTAAACAACTATAAAATCTTAAAGGTGGGGGGAAAGTGGAAAAGCCATACTTGATTAACAGCAAATTTTTCTTGAAGTGCGTAAAATCGGGTGAAAAACTCCGTTGAAAACAAAACACTACGCAATTCCATCCCGTTTCCCACCAACAGCGTTCAACCAATACTAAAAAAGTAATAACCATAACCAGGCAACAACTTTTACGTTTTATTTAGCGGATACTCAATGAGAAGCGAAAAAAATATGCTATTAAATCGCCTCATATCTTAAATCGAATCAATTGAATGACTTAAATGCAATTTGAGGTTCAAGAATATTTATTGACCCATTTTGAAAAATTGGATTAATAAGCATTTTATCTTATTCCACAGGGATACCAAAACTGGGATATCGTGCCATTTATGCTTTAGTAATTGGAAAGCGTAATTTGCCTTCCTTTAACAAGCGAATTTGAATGGAACGTTAACAGAAATCAAAACTTATTATAAAATTTCTAAATTTCTAAGTGATTATAAAATTTTTAAGATTTCCAAGTCAAGAAATCAAAAAAATTAAGCCGAAAATTCGAATACCTAAATTGAATTTTTGACTTTTTCCTGGAAAAAGGACGAACAAACCAACACGAACAATATATGAGTTTTCATTACGAACAATGACATATAAAGGTCAAACCGCTGAAAATCAAATTGCAGCTAGAATCACTTTTAGAATTTTAATAAGACGGAAAAACATCAACGCGACGTATTCAAGTGTCATCTCCACGCTCATCAACACTCAAAGATCTTGACACTCAACGATCTTGACACTCAACGTTCATTGATTATTACTTACGAACCTGAACACAGAGGCGAAGCTGAGCATCTCACCTTTTTCGATAAAATATGTATTTGATTGAAACAGCAAGACTTTCAAAAACGATCAAAGAGGACCGTTGAAAAAGCAACAAAAAAAACCAAAAAGAAAAAATCAAATTCTTGTATGATTATAAATTTATTTATGTTTTTTCAAGATTTCCAAGTGGGGTTGATTTAGAGCACACAAAAATCTGGGTCCTAAGTCTTATCGATCTCATAAATATTATCGGAAATTTGTAGGAAAAAAAATCAAGTAATAAAGCCCACAACAATGAAAGCCGGTAGCCAATCAGTCGAATATCAACAAAATTGTTCGACAAAATCTTTTTGGAAAAAAATACATACTGCCCAAACAGTATCCACAAAGCAATATATATACTGAGAGCAAGTTGATATACACGATTCGAAAACTTAACCATCAGTAAAAAAATAAGCAGATTTATCACAGCGGCGAAGCTCAATTTCGCACCACTTGCGATACAAAGTAAGAAAATCGCTATGTCGAAAAAACTCGATCTATCAAAATTAATAAGGCTAGTTTTGAAACAAAAGCATGCCACGACGATATCAGAGGAAATTAGCATCGGAAAAAAATTTAGCGAGCGGTAACAAAGACAAAAAACCTTGTCAGAAGAACTTTAAGCCGAAAAAAAAATAACAAGACTATAGACTTTTCAGAAGTTAACAAGTCACCTCAAAGCATATACGCAAAACTCATTTGCTAGTCAATATGAGCTCAAAAGGCCGATTTATTATATGCCGAGACTCATTTAGACAAAAGAAAAAAAGTCGAAAAAAAATTAAGACTAATAAAAAATTATTAAATCCCCCTCACCCTCAACACACACACTCACACATACAAACTTTTCTTCTCGTTGAAAGACGCAATATGAGGCCATTAAGCCAATTTATTATATGCTGAGACCTATCAAGCAGGAAAAATAGATAGAAAAAAGCCGGAAAAAAATAATTATCATGAAAAACTTTAATTTGTATCTATTTTTTTTAGCATTTTGTGCGATGCAGATGAGAGCATTAAAAATATGGTTTCCTTGAAACTACTTAAAAAGAAATCAATAAGCCAATTTCATTTAAGCAAAATAAATTTGAACCGGAATCATTTACGCAAAATAAAGTGTTTAAGCAAAAAAATAACAAAAAAATATAAGAAGTCAAGGTTAGTAAAAATACAAACAGCAGTGAAAAAATTTAATACTAAAAGCAACTGCAACGTAATCCGCGTGCAGCAAAAAAAAAACACTTCTATGAGGTGGCAACTAAGCCGACAAAACAATAGCAAACAAATAATAAACAGACAATTTTTTCGGAACGTAATAAAAATAATGAATTGTTTGCAGGCTAGTATACTAAGTAGTAGATGTTGGCGGTTAAGTGGGGGAGGGGGGAGGTGGAGGTCCCCCATGTTTTAAAATAGGGAATAGAGCATTCGCTCTTCCATTGAAGACTCTATACCCAATGTTAATACATAGCTGAAAGAGCGAATGCTCTATTCCCTATCCTGAAACATGGGGGACCTCCACCTCCCCCCCCCCCACTTAACCTCCAACATCTACTACTATACTAGTAGTGCTCGTTAAAAAACCGCATTTACAACCATTAAACATTAGCCTGGGAGATAGTCACGAGACCTTCTGGTCCGTTTTCAGACTTCTCTGAGCGGAAACATTAAATTGTTAATTTAAATATTTCAAATATTTCCTGATTTAAAACTTTAAACAGGCCAAATAATTCCTGTATGAAAAAACTACAGCTTGTTGTCAGATTCAAAAACAGGACTTTTGTCCTGAGTCATATTCGATAACTCCAAACTAAGTTTGCAGGAGAATAAGAAACGCGAAATCTTCATGAACAAAGGTACCACCTGAGTAGCTATGAACACCACCTGAATAGGTTTTCTCAGTCCTGTGAACAAAGTTAAAGTTATATACGAGAGATCAACTCATCGCGAGCGTAAAAAAGAAAATTTAACAATAAATTTTTTCTTTGACAAACATTTATGTCATGATTGTTCAATAAACTAGCGTGTAACGCACCTCCGGTACTCAATTTTTAACAACTCATAATAAACCGCATATATTGTAAATAAGATCTACATTCTTTGATTGTACTCTGACAGCGCCCAATTACAGGGTTCGTAATTACAAATTTGGCAAGTTTTGTATACAAATTTTGAAGAACCATAAAATTTTGCGAAGTTTTATATAAGTTCTTTAAAAAAATTTTTAAATAAATTGAGAAACGTCACATCATCTGACATCATCTAAACTAGAAGTAATTGAGCAGTCGCCTTTAGACGGAAGATTTGAAACTCTGATAGTACTCTTACATCATCACCCAACTAAAACGTTGGAAAATTCAAATTTTGAAAAACTTCAACCTTAAGTTTTCTTTAAAAAAAGGTATTTTTTGAAAACCACAAAAAATGTCACATCTCCAAAACTACCAAGATTTGAGCAGTCTTATTTGACGCCAATATTCGCAATCTTTGACAGTACTCTGACAGCACATAACAACAAGGTTGGGAATTTCACTTTTGTGGATTAATTTGTAACTTGAGTTTTCTGAAAACTTCCGAAAAAATCACAAAAATTGTCGTATCTCTTAAAATAAACAGATTTGGGCATTCTTAATTAGAGGCCGAATTCGCAACCCTTGAGATTACTATGACAGCCCCCAACTACAGGTTAAGAATTTCGACTTTTGAAAAAAAAATCACACAAAACGTCACATCAGGAAAACTACAAGGTTTTGAGCAGTCATATTTGGAAGCAAAAACTGCAAATCCTGAGAGTACACTGGCAGAGCCTCACTACAGAGATGGTAATTTCATATTTTGTTGAAATTTTTTTAATCTTATTTCTCAGAAAAATTTTGAGAAAATCCTAAATAATACGTCACATCTCGAAAACTATAGGGATTTCAGCAGCCATATTCAAAGGCAAGATTCTCAATTCCTAAGAGTACCCTCACAATGACCAACCACAGGATTGAGATCTTCGAAAAATTGGAATTTTTTTAAAGTCTTAGTTTTTTTGAAAAATCATTAAAAACGTCATATCTCGAAAACTACAAGGATTTGAGAAGTGAGATTTGGAGGCAAGACTCGCAACCCCTGAAAGTATACTCACAATATCCAACTACAGGGCGAGAGTTTGAAAAATTAGGATTTTTTTTAAATAAAACTTTCTATAATTTTTTGAAAAATCTCGAAAACTGCGAAAAGGATTTGGTTATTCATATATGGAGGCCAGAATCGCCAAACCTGGGAAAACCCTGACAAAATCCCGCTATCGGGTTGCTTATTTCAAACTTGATGAAATAAACACTGAATTTAAACCGGAAAAACGAAAAAAAAATCTTAACCATTGCAATATACGATATAGCTTAGACGTGCAAAAATTCTTTTGTTGAGCATGCAAAAATAATACGTTGAAAAAGTTTAAACATGGCGAGATACTGCAGCCCGCATTTAAATATATAATAATAGATAGATAGATAATAGATAACAGATAGATGAAAAAGCAGGTATACAGACAGACAGACAGACTTAATTTGACCTCAAAAAAATTGCTGAAAAATTAATGACCTAGCGGAAAGTTCATCGAAAAAAACTTTCATAAGCATTGCAATATATTATATAGCTCAAGCGTGAAAAAAATATTTCGTTTAAAATTATTAGGCTCAAACATGGGAGACAGCTGCCACACGCATTTAAATATAGTATAGATTAGTATGTGCAACTATGACAAAATTCGTCACTCAATTTTCGTTGAATCTGTAACTAGTTTTGTCATAGGTGCACTTACTATTTTATTGAAAAATCATGAACATGTTTCAGTTCGCCGAAGAATTGATTGTTCGAACTTTCGAAATTTAACCATCAATAAATGCCAAAACCAGACACAATTGTTTTTACATTTTCGCAAAAAACCCGGATTCTTTTTCCATATTGCAAATAAATTGATATTTATTTGATTTACGATACGCAAAAATAATCCAAGATAAAGGGATTCGTACAAGGACAAATCTACGCTTACGCTTCGCTTGTGGAATAAACATAGCCAACAGGCAGTTGAAAAAGAGTCGATGGAAGCAGTAAACAGACAAAAATACTGATTTGCTTTTTTTTTACACAGAGGCGAAGTGGAGCTTCGCATCACTTGCGATACAACACAAACATTGAAATAATAAAATTACAAAATCGAAAAATTTTCGTATGTCTCGATAAAATTTCAATCTAGGCAAACATGCCAAGCAAAACATTTGAATTTTAAATTAGCAACGGAGCAAAACTGACAAAGTGGATACAAAGCCGAAAATTTTTGAGCAGACACCAGTTGAGCCGAGATAAATGATTTGTAAAAAAAAGCTTCAAGTCACCTAAAAACACAATGAACAACACTTGCAACTAAATGAACATAGCCAAGTGACAGTTGAACAAAAAAATGACTTTTTTTTGAAAAATAGATGGCCTTAAAACATTATGAATTTATAGTACAATTTATAATTGACAATTTTTTCATGAACTTAACCTAATTTGAGAACACTGGATCAATAGGTAAAGATTATTGTTCGCTGAGAAATCTGATAATTACATTCCACTTTCTAAACTCGCTGATCTTTACACTTTTGCTGTTCGATAGTGGAGTTTGCCTTCCTTTTAACAATGGAACTGCACTGAACAGAAAAAAATCACAAGTCAGACCGCGAAAAATCAAAATTAAACTTGATCACTTTTTAAGACTTCCTAAAAAATCCACCGTTCTTTACTCTAAAAACTGCATGAAGCGCAAAAAAATCCGTGATTCGGCAACTAAGCCGACAAAACTTGAGCAACAAATGAAAGTCCGACAATTCAATTTTTACCAGAAAAAAATTTCAATTCCATACATACTGAAAGATTAAGCAAGTAGTTAAGATTCAAAAATAGAGCAAAAAAGAAAAGCAAGCAAGATTTGTAAGAAAAGTTGTTTTACGGGGAAAATAATTTAAAGCTAGTAATCAGTTTCTGTTAAAGACTAAACTGAATTTCACATGAAGCGCTCGTACTGGAGAAAGCCCTGAACATAGCTAACAGACAGTCGGAAAAAAGTCAATGAACGCAAGTAAACCGAAAAAAAACTGACTTTTTTGAAAAATCTTCATCTTTTGAATTTGTAAGTTAAAAAATACATCGCATCAACCCTCTTTGAATTTCAAGACAAAATTTTTTTTGACACTTTTTTGATAACATTAACTTATTTTGAGAAACCTGGGTTGACATGTTAAAATTCCACTGAGAATCTGAAAATTAAATTCCGCTTTCGAAGCAAGAAGACGATTACGTTTTTCGTAACCTTTACACTTTCGTATTTGTAGAGTGCAATTTACCTCACTTTCAGCAGATCAATTTAAATTGAACTCAAAAAGTTCACATATACCTAAGGGCATTCATAAATGCGTTAATATGTATAAATGCACATCTGTATTTATTAGAGAACTCTAAGACTTTTTACTGAAAAAAAAACTAAAACAATCACCAAGACCTACATAAGAGTCTTAACTAAGTTCGTCGACTCTTAAAAATTCCGACTACACTTTAGGATAGTTTTTTTGATGGATTTTCAGAAAAAAAAAATTGAAAATCAGAAAATTTGTTTTCATTATGTTGACAAATCTTCACACTCACGCAATGTTTTTCTTTTTAAAACTCTTTGAAATTCAAAAACAAATTATGATTATTTATGAAAACTGGATAAAGTTTTTTTTCCGCAGGGAAATCTGATATTTAAATTCCATTTTAAAAATTAGAAGCCGATCACGTTTTTCGTAATTTTTAAATACGATAGTGGAGTTTGCCTTCTTTTTACTAAAGGAAATGAACTGAACTTCAAAAAAATCAAAAGTCTAACCGCGGAAAAGTAAATTTGAGCCTGAACAAATTCGAAGACGTTTTCCTGAAAAAAAAAACAACCAAAAAACAAATGATCGCGACTTTTATAAGAGTCTGAACTACGTTTATCGGATTAGAAAAAACGGCGCGACATGGACCCGCTCCTTACCATAACAAAAAAAATGAACAAACCGATTGGTCAACATAACCAACTTGAAAAGAGTAGAGGAGAGTGTTAAAACTGTGTTTACCCTGAAAGGACACAAAATAAGGTCATCAAGCCGATAAAAAAAGGCGGAAAAAACTTGGGCCGAGGAATTTTTTTAGCGAAACAAAAAACAAAGAAGATAATTACGAAGCCAATGTAAGTAAGACAATAAAATGTAGGAGTAAACCAAACACTAAAAACAACATTACAGAAAAATGCGCACAGCAAAAGAAACAATTCTGAGATGTAACAACTAAGCCGACAATTGGCCGAAAAGATACAAATGATTCTGTTAAACTAGCTGTTAACTAAAAAAAAGTCTATAATCCAGCTTGATAACGCTTGCTTATCGCAATCATATAAAATTCCGAACTTCAAAGACAAAATAGATGGCCTAAGCTATCATAATTTGAGAAAACTGGATCAATATTTCACTGGAAAATCTGAAAATTAAATTCCACTATCGAAACTAGAAGTCGAACACGTTTTTTTGTGACTTTAACGCTTCATGTTCGATTGTGGAGTTTAACTTCTTTTAAACAAATGAAAAACTGAACTTAAAAATGAAGCAAGTCAAACCGCTAAAAAGTAAATTTGCGCCTAATCAAAAAGAAGACCCAAATGGAGAAGTCAGCCGCGGGAAGATACTTTCATCATTGAATATAATTGCCCTATCAACCTCGTGCGAAACTAGATCCGCATCTAGTAAATATTATAAAATTTACTTCTTAACAACTGCCCTGAAACTCAATTCTTTCAAAAAGCGTTCAACCAACAGTTTAACAGATTCATTTTTCTGTTCCGATCGATCAAAATCGTTCGTGTATTTCCTATAAGCAGAAAAAGCAATGGCTACAAATATATTTTGAATTCTGATCAATAAATTAGGAGGTAATTAAAGAATTATTTAAAGTGATTCCCTCTAATCCGGTCAAACTATTTATACAATCTTGATAAAAATTCATTTCTGAGAGCAGTAAAATCTGGTTCGGACTATCACTATTGTCGTCGTCTTTTAGATTAATTGTCCCATTTTCAATTAGTGTCGTTATTTTTGCCGATATGAATTCATTGCACTTTTGGAATAGTTTCAGACACATCTTTTCAGGTAGAATACCCCATACTGCCTGATGAAATTTTCCCATTAAGTTCGTGAGGTTCCGCATTGTAGCACTTGGAGCCGGTGGTTTCAGGTCCATCAAGCACTTAACCAAGTGCTTTTCAACCGTCTTCTCCAGTATACTGTACAACTGGGATATTAACTGATTGCAATGTTGGTCGTAGTCTTTTCCTACTACTTGCAATTCGTTTAAGTGACTGCTTTGTTGATTCGAGGCCAGGTGACGTTCAAAAAATGATTTCAAATCGGGCAAAAAAGCAGAGATGAACCTGAGAGACGAAAAGCAGAGCGCTAGGTTTTTGGAATTGATTGACTTCAGCTGCAGAATTTCAACTGCCTGTGCACCTAACACAAGTTGGTATGATTTATTGTTATATAATTTAATGAGTTCGATCACCTTAGTCAGTATATCGCTAGCTAAACTGGGAACTTGTTCCACAAGTTGACAATAAGCCGAAATCATTTTGAGCAGAATCAAATTAGTTCCAACTAGTGTATAGTTTGTCCCTTTGAATGCTAAACGATCTAAGATTCTATCTGAAGATCGCGGTGCTTCTGCAAAAGATGTTTCAAAAAATCCGCTTTCTTCTATATCGGTTGCTAGATTTTGAAACTCGAGCGGTATTTCTGCTTGTACCCAGCGCTCACTTTCTAACAAGATAACCAATTTACTTTTTTGGTCGTCGTGAAACTTCGATATAAACGAAACCGAACATGAGGCAAGAGTAAGTCTTATCACAGACGACCCTCTGCGGTCCATTAAAGCTTCGGTACTAGTTGCAAACTCTTCGCACGTTCGTGTGAACCGCACAAACTCAGACATCGACAAACGTTCGAAGAATCCGTTTTTGCTTCTTGACAGTAGCAACGTTTTGCACTTTTCATGAATCTGGTCACACAAATTATTCAGCGTTTGCTTCACGTTTCTTTGTAGATCTTGGGAGTCTCCTAATAAAAGCTGGGGTTGTTCTGCTTCCAGGATTCGTTTTTTATCCTCATCCAAAACAAGAGATAAAGTGGCATGAACTCGCTTCAGTAACAGCATCATTTTAGACAACACTTCTTTGTACAATCCAAGCCATTGGTTGAAGTCAAGTTTACGCATTTGAGCACAAAGTGATTCTCTAGTATCAATTTCAGACGCGTCACTCTGACTGAGAGTGTTTATCACTATGCTTTTGAACAAAGGTGCGACTGCAAGAATACACTCCTCTTTGTAGAGTTCTAGAAAACTATACTTCTTTAAATGAAGCAAAGCTTGTACTAGTTGCGAGAGCGTATGAGCATTGCTCACGAAGTTCTCGCTGTCTATTAATGGTCTGGCAAGATCCTCGCTGAAGTATGTTCGGATTTCGTTTCCGACCATCGCGTCTATAACGTTTTTCAGCTCATCCAGCTGAGGTTTCAAATGACGGAATGCTTTAATTCCAACTAAATCTTTGGCCAAAATGTCCTGAGTGAATTGTATTAACTCCAGAGCACCTGTGTAATCAGAATTTGCCAGCAATAACTGAATCGTCGGCTGGGTTTGCTGGACGGTTGCTATCATCCTTAGAATTGAGAAAATCTGATACTGCCGATGACGCTTTTGGATCAAAGGAAGCAGCCTCAAGTTGTTTGTTATTGTGACCTCGTGAGTTCCTGAAAGCTTCTCTCTTGTGGCTTCTACCGCCAGTTGAGTCCTTTGAATGTCTTTCTGGATGTCGCCATGCGATGTCATTGCATTAAAAAACGTGGAGCTCTGTTTGGAAATATGCGAAGATATGTGCATCTCAATTACATCCAGGTAGTGGGCCAGCTTCTCATGGTGATTTCTCAACCCACTCATGAGGTTGTAGACTGAACTACCAGGTGACGAGCTGGATTCTTCGCTCGGTCCAAATTTCATCGGAACTATGTCAGGTGGAAAAACTCGGAAGAATAAATCCCTGTCGCTCAGATCAAACGATGAGAGCGAGTAAAACTGAGGAATTGCTTTGAGCTCTTCGTTCAACTGAAACTCCCTTTGGTGTTCAATCGAAGGAGCGGGAGGCGTCACAGGACAGTCATTTGCATCGTTGCAATGCGTCTTGAACCGCGATTGAGTCTTTTTTATATAACTACGAAAGACTTTGGAAGATATTTCAGGCAATCGTTTAGTCGGCGAAACATCAAATCGCTGGAATTCACTGCCCCACGTCTGTGTGAAAATGTCAGTCTGTTTTCCTTTCGCGGGATCATTCAAGAGTGCTGGCATGTTAACAGAGGCCTTGTAATAGGTCCACTTCTGTTGATCAGCGACCACTGAGGGCGGCGATGGCGTTTCGCTTGTTGGCAAAACTGGCGCTAAATCAAGTTCGGTCATTTCTGCTGGAATTTTTACATGTATTTTCAACACATGCTGCTCATAATCTCTATCTGACACACCCTCCAAAGGTAAATACTGACATAAATTATTTGTACCATAGTGGCACGTAAAAGATCCACCCTCCTTTTTGCAATGACTATCGCGTAAATGGAAAGTAAAGTCTTTTATTCCGTAGAACTTTTCATCGGGGCATAATCTACAAGTCTTCCAAGACGGATTTTGAAACATGATGATGAACAACTAGCCAGCATTAGCCCTAAAATACGTTCAATCGTAATTTAAATGAATCAAATGTACAACTCATCCTCAAAATCAGTCAGAGCTACTAACTATGTACCTTGCATTTACGGTGCTTCAAAAGATTGATGATTGTGATCATTGCTTGTATATTTAAAACATATAAAAAAACAACAAAAAATGCAAACGTAAAAATAGACGAGCATCTAACAACGCTTTCTATTATTGAAAAAAAACATCAACTTAAATTTAGTTTTCCAACGAAAATGGTCATATCGTCAAAACTAACAACAACAACAACATAAGACTTCAATTGAGGAATAAATCAACAATGAATATAGTAATTTAGTTTAGGTATTCACTTGTTTTTGAGCCAAAACTACTGGGATTCAGATCTTATGGCTCTTTAAAATCAAAAAACCTAAAATGTCCTAAAGCATACAACTTAAGTTCCCAAAATTAAAATCTTAACATATAAATGAGATTCTTGTTTAACTTCTCAATATCCCGTTGAATTGCGGTCAAACAGTAGTTAGTCATAAAATATACAGTCGTGCGTGAGCCAATCAGAATCAAGAAAAAAATAATTTTTCGTTAGTTTGTTTCCTTATATCGATTCTGATGGGCTCATGGCTTTGTCTACTTCATGATCGCTTAATTTTTGCTACGTAACCCCCATTTCTATTAGCCAGTACGTATACAATTTGTTTCCATTAATTGTTTCAACCAGCGAATGATTCAAAAACATCTTGAAACATAATTTTGAAATATGAAAATGGCGTCATATCTCGAAACAAAAAAGGAAACTTAAAAAAGACACTTATTTAAGTTTTCTATTAGTTTTCGAGATATGACGCCAAATTTAAAATTTAGCCTTGGAAACATTTGAAAAACGCGTTAACTTAACATAACTCGCCGTCAAACTTTGAGAGACATTTTTTAAAGTTAAAATTCTTGATTTTTAATTTTAACATATCATTGAAACGTCATATCTAGGAAATTAAAGCAATCAAGCTACCCTACCCTACTTCAATGAAGACCAGAACTGCAACTGCTGGGGTTAGCCTGAAATCACCCCATCAAAAGTTGTACAACTTCAAAGGATTTTTTTCAAAATTAATGTTTTTTAAATCTCATTTTTTTATTACTATTTTTTTCTTCTGGGTAATCAGAAGGTCAAAAGTATCATAGTAACCGAGGTTACAGCCACGTATCCCTGTCAAAATCATCACGAGGGAGTCCCTTCATCACGTATCTCTGTCAAAATCCATGAAACTTTCTAGATAAGGAAGTGATAATGATAAAAGAAGATGATAAGTGTTGATGTCCTTACAATTAAAAATCAAAACGGTTTACGTTTCTTCGATAAGAACACGCAACTCGACACAAGAAAAAATAATATATAAAGTTACAAATAAAAAATTTTGTCGAAGGTTTTTTGTCATTTATTGTTCCGAGTACGCCAGCGACGTTCGCAATCAGTATTGCCAGGGAGATTCTCTGTTTTAAAAAGATGCCTGCTCTGAGTTCCTCAGTGCATATGCTTAGATTCTGTAACATTCGCCCGAATACTACATAATGACGGAGCGTAGAAAAAGCACCTTGTAACAGTCGCCTAATTAAGTCAAATATGAGGTTAAGAAAAATAGGCCCTATAACCATTGGCTTGAGAGTCAGGGACAATATCTCTTGAAAGAAATTTAAAATGTTAATTCAAACGTTTTCGCAAATTTTGTGCATCATCAGGATTAAAATTTTTTACAATATTTACAAAATGATCACAGATCAGAAAAATGAGAAACATGTCTAGAAAGGCTCCAAAACTTTTTAACCAATCAAACTTAAACAACTGTAATTTCATAATATAATTACGTAATCATGAATAACATTTTCCTGTAAATTTCTGAGATTTTTTAGTTTTTTGTTGATTCATGGTTATAAAATTTCAATTTGCGAAAATTTTTGATTCTGGCATGTCAGTTATTTTTTTAACTTTAGCCATGTTATACATGGACTATAATTTTAGTGTTAATTCCCGGCTCCTGAATTCATCGCGTGTGTTGATTTTCTGATCTCCCTCAAAATATGCAAAGCCTCTTTTGTCAGTAGCTTATGAGTGTTGGCTGTTTGGTCTATATTCTCAGCTCAGCAGTACGACCTACCTCCTTATTACATTCTAACAAGTGTTGCCCTACTGGGGAGTTCCCTTTGCGGTGTTCATCGACCCTCGTGGCTAAATTTCGGACTGTCTGGCCGACATAGGTGGAGATACATCCACTACATGTTAGCTTGTACACCACTTTGGATCTCAGTTCACGAGCAAAGGAAGTTTCTCATTTCTCTTTTCAGATGCCTTCACCTCTAAATTTTTCCTTCCCTCAATGAGCTTGTTAAGAGTTTCAAACACTACCCTGTCAGACCAATTTTTCGGATATTGATTTTCAAACCATTGCTTCCAATTTTTTTCCACTGACTGGTCAAAATCTTTGCATGTTGAGATACTTCTGAAAACCCTATGAACCGTCCCTTCAATAACGTTTCTTTTGTACTGCAAAGGTGCGCAGCCTCTGAAACTTAGAATGGTGCCGGTATCTGCGGGTTTTTGGTACCAACCACATGTGAACTTTTTTCTTGAATCCACGTTGTTATTTAAGTCCAAATAGGCCAATTAAGTTGAACTTAAATAAAAACGTGGATTCAAGAAAAAAGTTCCTATGTGGTTGGTACCAAAAACCCACAGATACCGGCACCATTCTAAGTTTCAGAGGCTGCGCACTATCAAGTTAATCTATGGATAACTGCAAGTTTGGATGCAACTTATTGGCAACCTCGAGAACTACCCAAGGATCGCCCTTGACCGTTCTAAATATGTCGTCCACATATCTGAGAAAAACTTTAACACCATTCACAGATGATCTGCTACCTGTTGTGTTTTTGCAAGTCATGCAATACCATACAGTTTCAGCGATGTCTGCGTATTCGGATTCCGATATTTTACTACACCATAAGTGGTACCAATTCAAACAAGCTTCGCATTCTACGCCTTTTGTCCGATATGTCACCTTCTTCTGACATCTAGGGCACATTTCCTTGTTACCCTCATTTAGCACAATCAATTTTGGTACATCTTTTTTTAATGCAGGTTCATATTCTTTGTGCCACAAATTGGCCAATATTACTGCAAGGGAGGCGCCCATTGCTAAAACGTGACTTTTTACATACCACAAACCATTGCATTTAAAGTGTACCTTACCCACTGCCAAATTCAGTAGTTTTTTCATAGTTTTGCGAGATGTTTCCGGAGGGTTGATTTGCTCATAAAATCTCCTCAGGGCTATTTCAACCGCTTCCTTGAGCGGGACATTAGTGTACAAATTCTTTACATTAAGGGAGATTATACTCCCGTCAGAGTTCAACTCATATTTCTCCAAGATCCCCCTGGCCATTTGAGTGTTCGTTTCTATGTTTGCCCCCTCAATTTCATCAAAGAACTTTGCCAATATTTTATTTAGGTTGTCATATGAGTTACCAGGTAAAGAAAGGATCGGACGAAGTGATATTCCTTGTTTGTGTACTTTTGCTTATCCATACAGCCTAGCCGGCTGTGCTCCCGTTGATCTCAACCTAGTATACAGCGCTTCGCTAATCTCGTCCTTCTTTTTCATGGCGAGTATTTCTTTGCTTATGTCTTTTTCAATTTTCATAATCACGCTGTCTTTCAGATTCTTCCTCTCACTAAATTGTTCTGCCTGTAATAAATCTTTCGGTTTTTTCTCATATGTCTCCCTTTTTATTACACAAAAACCCACCACCTTAATAAACGGCACTGCCAGAAGACCGTTGTAAATTCAAATACTTTCTGGCTTTCTCAACACCTTTGTCAGAGGGGGTCTATTTCACATTTTTAGCATATCTCTTTGCAACTGCTTCAATCTAACATAATTTTTCTCCGGGTATTCTATTTAACTTCAGTTCAGACAAAAAACTGTCAATGTCCGCAAGGAAGTGAATTTTATTGAATTTGTCTCGTACCGGATGTTTTGGTCCAAAACATAAGACTTCCCGCACCCAAAACGGCAAATTCACTTCATCTAAAGTTCTAACTGACCTTTCATCCAAGTTTTTTAATGATGTTTCCTGTCTTTCCGGAAGTTTTTCAAGCTTTCTCTTGTGTCGGCTTATCAGGTTATTGACACTACACCTTGCTTGCCGGTTCAGATAGAATATTACCGAAGGCCACCACTTCTCATCTATACCCGTTCTCACTACCTCTCTTGCTTTTACTAGGTTTCCCGATGCCTTGGCCCTATCCGCATTTGCCTGGCTTATCTCAGATCTCAAGAGTCTCATGAGTCTCAGTTGGAAGCTGTGCATCGCTTGATCCGAAAAAAACACCGTTATCAGGCGCGCAAAACCGTAAAAAATCTGGTATAATGTCGTTATCGAGACATTTTCTCAGAAATTTAACTCTGAGGAGACTGCTATTAAATTTATTCAAATGTTTTAAATAATCTAACACAAGTTTCCAAGTGAGTTTTTTTTTCAGGGCCAATCTAAGGAGTGGTGGTGGCAGCAAAATTGCGGTCATCTGTTCTTTGCAGGCCACGAGCACTTAAAATCATGTGGCACTCAGCAAAGAAAAAACAGCCACAACAAAATCTTACCACTTTTTGGTCGTTCGGTTCCGGCTGGAGGTCCCCAGTCAACACCTCCGCTCTCCGCGCTTTTGCCCTGCGGCGTCCCTGCGATGGTTTCTTGGTCTGGGGCCGTATCCTTGAGAAAATGCCTGGCAAGTGGTCTCGATGGGACAGCACCACCCGTAGTGACTTCATTTCCAATTCACTTGACTGGTGCAGTTGAAGATATTTCCTGAGCACTGCAGGATTCTGTCTCTTCCTTCTAGAGATAAGATTCTTTATGACGATTATCTCTGTCTTCCGCAGATCCTCAAAAATATCGGGAGTGCCCGTTCTCCTGCAGTAGACAATGCCACTAATTTGTCTTCGCTTCGATTGT